AATAATTAGTAAAACAAAAACAATAAATCATTTTACTTCAGTCTTCTTTTACTGTGACTATCTTTATATTTCAGAGTTCTTTGAGGTAAATTGTAAATGTAATTTGATCACTCATAATTTGTGGTCAGTCACTAGGCCATATATCTTAATTTGTCTGTTTTCGTTGCCCCCCAGTGGCATAGTGGTATGTCTGTGGACTTATACTGCTAAAAACCGGGTTTCGATACCTGTGGTGGGCAGAGCACAGATAGCCCTTTGTGTAGATTTGTGCTTAATAACATAACATACACACTGTTTTCCTTAGTCTTAAACTATATGCTTTCCAATCCACAATGTTAATAGATGTTTTGTTGGCTAGTTTATTTTATTATTCTTTATTTATTGTTAAATAATTCAATACATATATGACATCAGTGCAAGTTTGAAGCAATATTGCTACATCATACAAATGGCCGAACACCTAAAGTTGGAAACAGTGCAAATAAGTTACATATAAAGATATACATTAATCCACAAGCTGAAGAAAACAGTTTATTCTTTTCTTTTGAAGAGTGAAATAAAATACACGTATGCAACAGAACTGTCAGGCGTACATTCTATCAACAATCCTAGTACAGTCTACACTGGGTAGTATTTCATATGGCCTTGAGTATGAGCTAAAAACTGGATTAACAGAATCAATAAACTGTCTTTACTTTTTATTTGAGAAATTTTATGTGTCTCTCAGGTTTAGTTTGTCTTATACGTTATCGTTTGAATGAGTATTTATATCAATGTACTTACTGGCACTTGTAGCAGATATATTTGCCAATAGCAGCAGCCTTCACTTTGGCGTTACAGTCATGACACAATGCTCTGTGGATTAAAATATATATATATATATATATCAAAAAGATTATTAGATTATTTAGAGATTATCTAATTGATTCCATTCAACATAATAATTATGAATAAAAATTGAAAAGAAAATATTCATGAGTAATTCTTTAGAGATATATTTATCTCTAAGTGACCCTCTTCCAACCCAGAAGCAAAATTAAAAACCATCATCATAGGTATGGAGTGTAAGAGTTACCACTGATTTTCAAAATAAAGCATTTAATGTGTTGTTTGTTTCTCATCAGTTTGTATAAAGAATTTCAAGACTTTCTAGCAATATCAAACTTTTTACAATTAATGAACTTTATACAGCAGTAATTATTTGTAAATAAATATACAAATACAAGTATTTCCTATACAGTCCACCTAAGAAGAAGGCTGTACATATACAAGTATTTCCTACACAGTCCACCTAAGAAGAAGGCTGTACATATACAAGTATCTCCTACATAGTCCACCTAAGAAGAAGGCTGTACATATACAAGTATCTCCTACACAGTCCACTTCAGAAGAAGGCTGTACATATACAAGTATCTCCTATACAGTCCACCTAAAAAGAAGGCTGTACATATACAAGTATCTCCTACACAGTCCACCTAAGAAGAAGGCTGTATATATACAAGTATCTCCTACATAGTCCACCTACAAAGAAGGCTGTACATATACAAGTATCTCCTACACAGTCCACCTGAGAAGGCTGTACATATACAAGTATCTCCTATAGAGACCACCTGAGGTGGCTATATATATATATACTTCAATGAGGTGTAAGAGCTACTAAGTACTTTCCTTTAATTATAGAGCCAGTTTTTAATACATGTCATGTCAGCCAATCAGAATTACATTTCTTGATCAACCATAAAAAAAGATGAACATTCTTCACAGTGTGCTTTTGTATACTTTTAAGTAAAACGACTTTACTAGCAAAAATATTTTATTGTTGTTGCATCAAAAAACATAATTAATGCATTTCAGTAAACACATAAAACAACACTGAAATGACCTACATAATTACATTAAGAATGCACTAATTCTAAAACATGAAACCCATTAATACAGTTACAAACTTCTTACCTCTTTGCATTAATAATAAATCCTTGGTCAGCTAACGCTGTCTGACACATCTCACATCGGAAACAGTTAGGATGCCAGTTATTGTTCATCGCCTTGATTACTCGACCAATAATGAACTCCTTACATTTTCCACAGGATGGAGCGAACAAAATGTGAAAATCATGTTCACAATACTTTCTGCCTTCAAACTGTAAAGCCCCAATAATGTGGTTATTTTTGAAAGTAAAACAAACAGACACATACAAAATATACATAGTACAGAATGATAAAAGAGAGGGTAGGGTGTGGATTTTACTTAATATAATGTATACAAATGTTTCCTTAAAAGCTTAACTACATCTTTTAATATATCAGACATCTAGAAATGTATATTAATGACAATTTACTTCATGAAGACACAATGATTTTGTTGAAAAAAAAAAAAAGTTGCATATATAAATCCATAAATCCAAGAGATATAGTAGTTTCTAAAATTACCATACCATAACAAGTTTTTGCCTACCTCGTAAAATATTCCTTCTGGAAAAGGTCTGAAGCACTGAGCACAGCTGTAAATGATACAAAATTTTAATGACTTACTTACTACTTATATATAACATATACATGTATATCAAGAGGATAAGAAAATGAATGCAATACAGACCAAAATTGTAATACTGTTTCAATCAAACTTACTGACTTGACTACCAGGTGGCAGAATTAGATCACTTTACGTACCAAGTAGTTCAAACTTACTGACTTGACTACCAGGTGGCAGAATTACGTCACTTTACGTACCAAGTAGTTCAAACTTACTGACTTGACTACCAGGTGGCAGAATTACGTCACTTTACGTACCAAGTAGTTCAAACTTACTGACTTGACCATCAGGTGGCAGAATTACCTCACTTTACATACCAAGTAGTTCAAACTTACTGACTTGACTACCAGGTGGCAGAATTGCATCACTTTACGTACTAAGGAGTTCAAGCTTACATTTCCTACCTTTTCAGTTAGTGGGGAATTTTTGGTTCTTTGTGTTTCTGTTGGACAAGAAATGTAAACTAGTTAAACTGTTAGGTTAGTAGAATCTACTTAAGGGGTTGATTAGTGGCTTTAGACACCCTAAAACTTCCTTTACATTTATGGTTAACTTAAATGTTTTTATTTAGGAGCAATTTGTATATATCTGTGTGTGTGAGTATATATACCAATCATACTTTGCCCTATATGAAAGAGATGTAGATTTACCCAAAACTGAACAGAACAGACACTTTTTAAGTATTTCACAAGGCATTCTTGGTGCCATATTTCATCATGACAACTGCACTGAACAAGCACTTTATATAATTACACAAGGCATTATTGGTGCCATATGTCATCATTAGAATTAACCATAAATGAACTGACCAAAAGCTTTAAATACTTACACAAAGCAAGCTTGGTGCCATACTTCTCCATGAGAATTAACCACTTTTTCATGAGGCTCAAATCCATCCCCACAACGGGAACAAAACATAGATCCAAGAGACATGATTTACAAAGGTATTCTGAAATGCAGTTACAGCCATTACATACAGTTAAAATATAACTAAAATCAATGAATAACATTCTCCTATTGCTGTAGTGTATGTATATGAGCTCATGCTAAAATTCCAATGAATAAAATACAAGAGAAAAGTTTCAGGCCTAAAAGGAATGAATAATAATAATAACAGCTAAATTCTATTAATTTCATTGTTTATCAGATATATATAATCACATAATACTTACAGTTCCTTAGAAAAGGCAAAGAAGTTTATATTTCAACTAAAAAATGTGTTATTTTCAACATCAAAACAGCGGATATTCACTAATGTGGGGATATGCTAAATTATAGGTGACTCCTACAAATTAATTGAATTATCTTTAAGAAAACACAATGTGTGCTAGGAAAATGAACATTTCAGCATAACTTCAATTTAAAATGAATATACAACTATATAACACATTTAAACTTAAATATTGCTATACATTACAGTATGATAATAATATACAATTACGTAATATGTTTAAATAATGCAATATATTATAGTATTAATAAAATATGACACTATACAATAATTAAATTAATTTAACAAGAAAAAATTGACATTTTACAAGTGGCGGATGGTATATAATAGCAGTAATTTTTAATAAAACTGTAGATTTGTTAAAATTATCCCACTTTAGAAACTGAATCTTTACTCATGACCTAGTTGAAAATGATTTGGAATTTCCTCTTTAAATTTGTACATGTATATGAAGTACCTCAAAATTTAGGTTCTGGATATCCTTCTTATCCATTTCTACACCTACCTGATCCAGATAACTAAGAGAAAAAAATAAGATCACAAATACTACGTCCAAATTTTGTCTATCTAACTTGTTATATGACTACTGCACAACTAAAAGCTGCTTGGATTGACGAAATGTTTTCATTTGTTCTTCTTCATTAAGTTTACTCCAAAAAAAAAAAAAAATGGTAGAAAAAGTCATCAGTACATAGAAACCTACGCATCTGCCAATGTTAGTTACGGCTAACAGTAACACGTATTAACATCTGGTTTATTTTGCAATAAACATACAATTAAATGTTTAAATATGGTTAATTCAATGCATATTATTGGACCTCAATCATCTTAAACATTAAATTTTAACAAGCTACATTATTTTCAGATGTTTCAATTTTTTCAACAGCCTAATAATGTTTATAATGCAGCATTCGCCTTTTCAAAACCCACGTACTGACGTATCTACACGAGTTCCTTTCGAATTTAAAGCTTTTGACGTACCAATTCCCAAAACATTCTACAAATAAGGAATATAAATAAGTTGGTAAAACATTATTCGAAACTATTTAATTACTAAGTTCATCTGTAGGCTTAAGTATGAATGGATGCTATAACAGAAATATTAGAAAAATCGGCCGACTTACGTCTTTCTCTTTCTCGAACACGGATGAACTTTCACAGCATACAAAATATATAAAAGATTTCCATAACACCGCCTATCATGTACGTATAAGGCAACATAGAAAGGACCTATTTACTGTTATCACTCCTACATCTTTTGGCAGTTGAGAGACCGAAGTGACCACAAAAAAGTAAACAAGGGAGTGGTCTATTTCCTATACGTCATATGAGTGGCAATTAAAAAAACACAGCCTTGATTTTATAAACTTTTATAATTAAAAAAGTAAGAAATAAACCTTTAAAATGAAGCATATAGCGTTTAGGAATAATCAGAAATTATAGAAAAGAAAACTATACATAAAAAAATAAACGTTTATTAATTAAACATTCTGCAACTTTAGATATTATTAGGGACTTTCTTATAGCATCATTGCAGATCCGAGTCCTAATGTTAATTTAAAAATCGCAGTGCATCAACTACCGTTTTTCCTAATTACCAAAACATATAGTAGAAAATTAATCTCACGCAAACTAGTATTTCAATTTGAGAATGGCTACGTCCGAGTCTTTTGATGTTCCGGATTTTAGAAAAATCTCTAATCTTAGGAATTGGGTGGCGACACCACTTGTTTTATCTTAGTGGAAATTAGTTTGATTAAAATACTAAAATCTAGTTTTGGCCAAAAAGTAGGATAATTGTAAATGACATAACTCCAGTCATACCTATATGTTTATTTCTACTTCAGAGACTTGTTAAAATAATATTCGAGAATACTGTATACTCTCAAAGGCAATTTTATGTATAAAGACAACATTTTTGAAAATTATCATACATCAATAAAATACTAAATACATTTTTAAATGCAAATATAAAAGTAGTTACATCTATTCTTAAGTTATCATCTTCTTATGATAACACACTGACTAATATGGAATCAGAATTGTATCCTTTATTTAGGGTATAGTGACTTAATTTTGTATTTATGTTTATGGAGTAAGTACTTGAAATCTTTTGATTTCTGATTTACACATTTCACTGTTTGTGTTCTAAACAAACGTATCATACACTTTCTGATTTCGATATTCATATTTGTATGCTGTTTGTTTATTTTTGAATATTTGAGCAATGCAACACAACAGTTATCTGCGCATAGCCGTCCTTAATTTTGAACCACTAGACTAGAAAAAAGCAGATAGTAAACAGCACTCACCATCAGATCTTGAGCTGCTTTTCTTTTGGCCACATAGTGAGATTTGACCCTCACTCTTATAACACAACCAGAAGTCCAAAGTTCGGGGTACGTTTTTGTGCCGGTTAGATGCGAACCATGGACTCTTGGATTCACAAGCCGGGCGTGTTAACCACTGGGCAGGTCTGGCCCTTTTCGAAAATTAAATTGTACATTATTCAAAACGTGTCACCAGTTGAAGATTTCTCCCCCCCCCTTTTAATGTAAAATGGTATTTTTTTCCACTGGACAAGATGGGGGGGGGGGGTTGTTTTAAGAAAAACGTGTGTCAACAAACTAACGCCTCGCCCTCGTATAACTTGCTACAGTTATTTCCCACACACGAATCAGTCCTCGATCTCGTGTTTCTCGATTGGCCACTGTGATCACTTAACAACGATAGACATTTCTTTAGACCAGGGGGTGAACGACTGAGTTGGTCGAGGGTGAATGCACATGTGTAGTTACATTTTGTGAAGTTCATGTTTATGCATAAATTGTATTTGAAAAGTTTGTTTATTTGTTATGAATTTCACGCAAAGCTACACGAGGGCTATCTGCGCTAGCCGTTCCTAATTTAGCAGTAAATACTTGAGGGAAGGCAACTAGTCATCACCACCCACCGCCAACTCTTGGGGTACTCTTTTACTAACGAATAGTGGGATTGAACATTACATTATAACGCCCCCACGCCTGAAAGGGCAGGCATGTTTGATGGGATGGAGATTCGAACCCGCGACCCGCAGATTGCGAACCGAGCGCCCTAACCACCTGGCCATGCCGGGCCATTATTTGAAAAGACCACTGGCTGAGACCCATAAAACATTTTTGGTCAAATTAGTATCTTAATTGCAAAGTACTTCTATAAATACAGGATTTCTAGAAAAATATAAAAGAATTCTAATCGCAGAACGATTTGTCTTAGGCCTAACGTTAGTTTAACATTTATTAAATATGGCCTATATTCGATAAAGAGATAAATTAACACTGGAACTTGTGTACGTTTATATTTTAGTTTAGTTAGAGCAAAACGTTACTGTACTTAATACTATAAGTAAATAGTCTTATAATACTATTCTATCGACCTAACGTTAGACCTTTTTAAAAACTTTGTTAAGTTTAACATGTGTTGTGTACAAAATGTCTACTAAAGTATATTTACATTCGTTGAAATGAAGTGCGCGCGCATTTTCAGGATAATTTATATAAATATAATAGTACTGTCTATTGTCTGTTGTATGTCCATGTAACTACTTCGCAGAGTGTGGATAGATCTTCACCAAAATTGGTATGGAGGTTCATCAGGTCCTTGTGGGGATAAATACACATTTTTTTTTCAGTTTTACGGTTTTTATGGGCTTTTTTTTTACCACTACCTCACCTCTTTTGGATGGAGGCTCATTGGTTCGATGGGGAGATAAATACAAATTTTCAGTTTTGCGTTTTTGACAATTACATATAAGGGAACCAACTTTTCATGTCCTAAGATAACCTTTCATTAATCATGAATTCACATCACTTCCGTCCAGGGGACAGACACTCCAGGTAGTAGTAAAATATGCTAGAACATTGTCTTCTCAAGTTTATAATACCCATGTTGCTGAAGCTTGTTCACGTTTCGAACGTTCGGTAAACATTGTTTCTTGTATCATTAAAGCAAGTTGAACAGATACGTTTTTGTTTCAAAGACTTGTCAAAATTTATTATACTGTTACGACAGCGGAGGTCACGTGATCCTAGTAACACGCCACGCGATTCTAGAACGTTCATGAAGCGTCGGGAGACTACTAGATATGGGGTAGTCTTGTATATATAAGACCAGCCAAGAAGCGACGGGAACAATGTTATTGAACTGCGGACAGAGTATTGTTGAGTCGAGCACGTAAGACGTTCGTTGTGAATTATAGCGTTTGTTATAGCGCGACTGTTGAAATTAAGTGTATCGCAAAGTTGTATTCAGAAAGAATAAACCAGTTTTATTTAAGAAAGGACTTGTGTCGCTAAAGTTTCATTGGAAAGAATTTTTACGGAAAATTAACTAACGAATGGAGACGTAACAATACTTATTTTTATTGGCTATATAAAACATTTATGCATAATTATTAAAGCACTCTTAAAATAACTTTTTTTTTATGGATTTGATGTTTTTGAGTTGTATTCTTGTAACGTATTCTATTGTTGGGAAAATTTATTTGGTTTATTTGGTAAAACTATTGCCAAGTCCAGTCCATGTAATAATAACGAATTAATCAATTTTTCAACAACATTTGATACAGGCTACAGTCACTTGTAGGTCTAACTTCACAATCAACATTTCAACAGTAACTCCGTTAGTAATGTAAACCTAACTCACTTGTAGAATTTGCTCGCTGATGGATTAATAACGAACACACCGATCAACTCCCTCATTAATTGGTCCACAAACCAATAGATGCATTAACTCTCATTGTCTAAGTCACTAGGAAACATTGAAATTAATATATGTTTAAGTGATTACTCTTTGATACACTGAATACTTCAATAATTACTGACTCATTCACTCTTATATTTATATCATTTTCTACTTAAAGCACAAAATTTCTAGATTATTATGTCATCATCATCATCATGAACTCTCTTTGGCAAACAAACATTTAAATTAAAATGTTAAAAATATAGCTCACAACACTGCCACCTTTCCTGGATTGTGAAGTCCCTTGAACAATCCTACTACACAAATAAAACAGTACGTTAAATTATCCATTCACCAACCTTTTTGATTGTTTTCTCTTCCGGAGGTTACGGTATGCAGATCGGGATGACCTATTGTCTCTTATTGTCACTTGCTTTCCTGTCACTGATGGAGTACTTCTTAGGTTGGTGGACAATCAAATCCATTGGCATCTTAATCTTGCTAATTCTCTGATAGTGTTACTGACAGGAACCTTGGGCTCTTCAGCAGGTTGACTCTCCACTGGCATTGTTTAAAAATAACCCAGTTGGCCATTCTCCATACGCGATAATGGTGAATGACCTTTGGCTTGGATGACCCATCCTTCTGAATTTTTTAAGCCACATTATTGATTCTTATCAATATAACACATGGCCCTTCCCAACATCTGCTTAACTGGAGAGTTTTTTTTTTTGGTGGGGATTGTACAGCCATATCATGACATTTCGATAAAATCGACACGGTGTTCCTTTGTCTTCTTGCATATTTTGTAAAATATTCTGCTGAGTGACTATCCTCCAGATATGAAAGCAAAAGTTCCAATGACGCTTTAAGTTCTCATCCAAATATCAATGATGATGTGTTGCCTGTAGCTTTATGTACTGCCGTTATATACCCCATAAGTAGCAGTGGAAGGTTGATTCAAAAGTGTATGATTTTATCTCTCTACTGTGCCATTGGAAGATGGATGAATAATTTTTGTCCTGGAATTTTTTATTCCAAGTGCTTAACATATTTCTGCAAACAAAATTTATTCAAAGTTTCATTCCTGATCAGGGTGTAGCTCTGTAGACACCGAGACGTTGAGACGAATTCATTAACGAGTTTCCTTGCTAGTTTCTGCCTCCTGATTATTTGATTCCAAGTTTCATTCCTGATCAGGGTGTAGCTCTGTAGACACCGAGACGTTGAGACGAATTCATTAACGAGTTTCCTTGCTAGTTTCTGCCTCCTGATTATTTGATTCCAAGTTTCATTCCTGATCAGGGTGAAGCTCTGTAGACACTGCAGACGTTGGGACGAATTCATTGACGAGTTTCCTCGCCAGTTTCTGCCTCCT